TTACTTATTCAGTATAAACAGGCGGCTTTAACAAAAATATCAAATTTTTATATATTTATATTTTTTCAAGAAATTGTTAGACTTAGTATTGAAATCTTTTTTAAGAAAAAATCAAGCATTTTTCGAGCTTAGCTGTAAATTTKATACTATACTTTGCAGAAAGTGGCAACCTGGAGGCATTTGCTTTAGAACGTTACGAACTTTTATACCCTGAACAGGATATATTAAGTTTGCCACGATGTTTGTAATACCCAGAATTAAGACCCTAGAAAGTATATAAGTAGATGCGTGCAACTAATTAACAACGACTTGTCCCTATAAGTTAAATGACGATTTCTGTAAAATTTTTGAGGGTAAAAATATATGACAGCAATGTAACTTTAAACTCGAATTAAAATAATTCTTCCAAAAAAAATTAAAGCGTTGTTATGGTAAAGGGTGAGAGGTTACAGATGTGTAGGGTAAGCCGGGCATTCAAAGAAGTGATTAAAGTCATTACGCTCTTTAACTAATAGCATGCGGGTCTCACTATGCAGATATTTGATAGAAGATATCAATAGACATCCTATTATATGTTCTGATATATTGACAACAACGTTTTAGGTCCGAAAGATAGCAGTTTACTTTTGAGCACATACCATCGATTCCGTTGCCCGACGTAATTATTGTGCAATCATCAGCGTACGTAAATTCCCTCTGATGGTTGAGGGATCTACGAGATGTAGAAATGAAATAACGGGAAGAACGTTTCAAAAGAGTTCAGATGTTTTCAATGATATTTAAGTCCGAACTTTAAGGTGGCCAGTCCAAAGTGTCAACACCAGTATCCTTAAAAAAATTGGATATCATTAACGCTTTGTGGCGTGGTGTGTTATCCTGTTGCTTAATAAAGGCTTCTCCAATAAGCCGTCCTTCAGTAATAAAGGCATGATCATTTCAGATCATCAAATATTGCCCTTCGTTCATTGTGTCGYCAACAGGAACCAAGTCATCTAGGCCATTATACGCCACACATCCCCAGAACATGACAGAGCCTTCATCATTGCGCACTTTTTGGCAAACGGGTCACCGTTTGGCCACCTTGGGCAATATACTCAAAGTAGCTTTGATCTGTCCACAGAATACTTCCCCAGAACTTGTGCAGATCTTCTTTTGCAAAGGCCAGTCTTTTAAGCTTGTTTGCCTTCGAAATATACGGCACGTACTTAGCATTATTGTCCTAAAATTTACTTCCTTCAAACGTCTTAGGACAGTGCGCTCACTGATTGGGTTCTTGACCGTCAAATTCCATTGATCTACAGCTGATTGAAACGTCAGAAAAATATTTGTTTTAAATTCTCGTAAATCACTCGGTCTTGAGTGGACGTTGTCGAGTTCTTGTCTATTTATTTTACTGTCGTTCCAACGTTAAACTTTGCAGATCTGGCAACCAAAGTCAAGTCTGCAGTTTTACTCATGTTTAATTAATTAAAAAAAAAAATTTCTATCCTTTTTTTCAACATTTTTAAACTTCTTGTTTTTTGATTTTTTCACAATATTTAGAAATTTTTTTAGAAACTATGCTTTTGGATTACTTCAACATAAAACATATTCTGTTGTAAATTGTGAATTGAGTAGCTTTTTGTTCGGCTAAACTATATACCTATATAATACTGTTATCAATTTGCATACGTAAACTATGCGCTTTAGTCCGGGAGCTGCGGTGAAAGGTTATCAGAAATCACTAAGCCAAGTAAATAAATTTATTTTTGAAAAGTCACATGCTAATAAAATCTACAATATTTTAAACAAATACAGAAAGCATAGGTTTTGCTTGCTCAATGACTTAACTAAATCTATATGGCCTTGAATAGCATTGCTTGAATGCTTACTTGCCACATGCTTACTTATTTTTTGAGAAAATTTTTATTGAAATTAAAAATGTCATAAAATGAAACGAAAGTCACAGCAATAAATATAGAAAACGAGAAAAATAAACGAGCTCTCTTCCTATCAATTGTTGCTTGTTTTTGCTTTTGCCTGCCGCTGACAGCTGCAGTATGAGCACAACAATTAAGACACATCTTCAAAGGTCAGATGTTGTGTATGCATTATGTTGTTGTTGTTGCTGCTTTTTTCAACAAAAACAAAAAAACAAAAAAGAAACAACACGTGGCAGATACACTTCATAAGTGTAAGTGCCCTAYAAAAAACATTTGCTTATATGCTGCTCGCAAGCGTTGACAAGCGAATGGAAGTGCTGAAATTGTTGAAAGTTCTTTTTTCAACAAAAAACGCGGAATTGCAATATTTTAATTAATTAAGTAATAAAGTTTGAATTGTGCACAATCATACATGTTGTTGGCTCAATTAAGCTGGAAATTCGTGTGAATTCCAAATACACTACAACTACAATGCCGTAATAATATATAAATGCATAYGTAGTCTTAAAATAAAGACGAAAGTTGTCAAATGGCTATAAGTTAATTAGAAGTGAGAAAAAATGGTAACTTCCGCGGCATCGAATTTGTAATATATATAATAAAAATTTCCATTTAAGAACTTGGACTTGACTTGGTCGGTTTGTATGGCAGGTATATGCTATTGTGCTGCAATTAAAAAAAAATTTTTTTTTGGAGATTGCACCATTGTCTTAAGCAATTATTCGTGCTAAATCTTGGGAAAATATCTCGACAAATAAAAAGCTTTTCCATATAAAGACTAGATTTTGAACGTTCGGTTTGTATGGTAGCTATATGCTATAGTGAACCGATTTTACCAATTTCTTCGCAGATTGCACTTTTATCTCGAAAATCACCCCAAAATTTCTTGAAGATATTTCATCAAATAAAAAATTTTTCCAAACAAGCACTTAACTCYGAGCGTTCAGTTTGCATGGCAGCTATCTGCTATTGTCAACTGATTTGAACAATTTTCTCACAGATTACCTCATTGGCTTAGACTATAACTCAACCAAAATTTCTTGAAGGTAACTCATCAAATAGACTATAACTCAACCCAAATTTCTTGAAGATAACTCATCAAATAMAAAAGTTTTCCAAACAAGCGCTTAACTCCGAGCTTTCAGTATTAAAAATTTTATTCAAAATATGCCTTTAATATGATATTTAATTTTTTTCATAAATGCCCAATACAGCTTTAACAAACCTGTAAAAGCCTCRGTCTATTCTAATTTATTTTTAGAAACCATAAGTTCTCTTATATTCTTAAAATAGAAATATATTTTACATCAACTTTGAATACTCAGAATGACTGCAAAGAAATCAGTGGTACTTTTCCTGCACTTTTTCATATAATTACAGGTAATTGATAATTTTTGATTCGCTGAAATAAATATGCAAACATACTATTTATAAATTTGTTTACTCAAATATACTCATATATTAGTGCTGTACAATTATTCGCATACATTTTGTGTAAATATTCTACTTGTTGTTTTCGGATAGCAAATAAATGAACTTCGAACGTTTCAATTCAATATCGTTTGATGACAACAGCTGATCATATTGAATATTTTCGCAGCCAACTTCAGACTTAACCGCTTTATCGTTATAAATTTGAACAGCTGATATAGTAAAGCTCATTTATTATCTATTTTATATTATATCAGTATTTATATCCATTATTATCTATATATCTATTTTTATCTGGAGGATGCTCCATCTGGAAGAACTCTTGAAGCGGGAGTGTATAAAGTTAAGTCGTTTTTAAGTCGAATACTCTCAAAGCTGAAGTGTTTTCATGTATTCGGCCGACGTGATCTAAGCAGCGTAGCCGCAGTCTTTTGATTTTTTGAACTATGTCAATATYGTCGTATAKCTCGTKSAGCTTATCGTCCCAYCGACTGCGATATWCACCRWGACCAACGCGCAAAGGACCATAAGTCTWCCGCAGAACCCTTCTCTCGAAAACTCGTAACGCCAACTCATCAGGTCTTGTCATCGTTCATGCCTCTGCGCGATATAGCAGGACGGGAATAATGAGTGGCTTACAGAGTTTGGTATTGGTTCGTCGAGAGACGATTGCCCTGCTCAGTCTGTTGGCAAGAATTATACTGCGTTGGAATTTCAGGCGTTGTTATTGGTCTCAGCGCTGGTTCTAAGGTAGACGAAATTATCTACGACTTCGAAGCTATGACTGTCAACAAACGTGTGAGCCAATCGCTAGTGGGGACGACGGTTTATCTGATGATAGCAGATATTTCGTCTTTTTCTCGTTCACAACCAGGCCATGCTCGATTTCAAAGGAATAGTTAATTTGGAGCTTGTGCCCGAAAAAATTTTACGTTTAATTCTCAAGTGTACAAGTTTTAAAGTCAAACAAAAACGGCCAAAATTGATCAATAGAAAAAGYGTTTTGTTCGACTAGGAAAATGCGAGTCCTCTAATAAATAATTTCTAAGCTTTGAAGCACCACTGCATCTTAAAACAAAGTTCCACAATTTATACATACAAGGTCGTGGAGAGAAAACCAGCGAACGAGCATGATTGTAGAGATTTGTTGGGTAAAAATTTTGTAAAACATTACTTCAGAGCACCGGTCCCGATGATAACTTGTGCCTTACACTCTATACAAATGATCACATATACTTTTCGCTTTGTTCAGAATTCAGAGCTCTCTAACTTATTCACAATATTTTTTCCATTTTAAGTAACTTCTTTTCACACTTTTTGGTAGAAACCAACGCGTCAAAGTTTTATATTTCCTTCACACAAGCAAAATATTTCAATATTTATAACGAATCAACACAAAAGCTTAATTTTTATCAACCAGATATTTCTATTACAATTGCTCTAACTCACAGGACTTATTTTCAAACCTTTATCASACTGTTATTTCTGCAAAAGCGACAATTTTGTATTTTTTGTTAAATCGCAAGCATGTTGATGATAAGAGTTTGCCAACAGAATTTAAAAAGAATTAGATTTTTAATATTAACAAAAAATATATATATTTATGCTTTTGTATATCAAAAATCGCAAATTAATCCACCACAATACCTTTTAAATCTTTATACTGCTCACTAGTCTGCACTGAAACGAAATGACAGTGGCAACACTTTGCACAAATACAAATTGCTAATATTTAGAACTTAACGTCCGCACTATTTCAAGGTAGAGCTGATACTGAAATGCGGTGAGTTTCAGGGGTTTAGTTTTAAATTTCCGCCCGCTGCCAGTCTCCAGGTMTATGCAAATAACTAGCGGCCAAAGCAAGCGAAAAAAAGATCAATCACTTGGCGGAGCGTTTGGGAGGTGACAATGACAATTATAGCCGGCTGATAACCGATGCCGATGCGTGTGCAATCGCCTGCAGTTTGTTGTTGTTAGCTTAAATGTTATAAGCCGCTGTGGCTTTAATTCTCACACTCAGCGCACTCGCTCTCCAGCTTATAAAAATTACCACTCATTGGGAACAGTTTTGCTCCTACTGCTGCTTCTGCTTTGGCTTATGCCAATTAATACTCGAAAACCATTTTTGAATACACGCGTGCGTTAAATTTCTTTTCTTTTATAGAATATTTTGTATTTCATTGCTTTTTTACTTCAATCATTATACACGCTTAACCCTTAAAAACGAGCCACACGTTTTTTTTTTTTTAATTTTTTCTATTTTGTCGTTAATTTCCTAACGTTTGTTCGTAATAATTTGCGTTTTTGTTGCCAAATTAATGACACCAACTAAACAATAACAAAACACAATAAAAGAATAAAATTTCGGCAAAATAGGTTTCTTTGTTTCCAGCTGGCTTCATATACATATACACATATGCACATATCGTCACTTAAAATGCAAAACAACGTATCATCAAAAAATCGAAATTGAGGTTTTTATTGCTTATGTTTCACTATTTCATATTACATATATATGTATATATTGGTTATATCTGATGCCAGAAGCTGAAAATTGTATAATACATATATAGTATATACATATATAGTATASAAACAAAATTTGAGTTTTGGTTATAAAACGGWTATGAATTGGTTATATAGTGGTTATATATTGGTTATATCTGATAGCAGAAGCTGAAAWTTGTATAATACATATATATATAACCACTATATAACCAATTCATAACCGYTTTATAACCAAAACTMAAATTTTGTTCCAATTTCAGTGGTTTCTATTATATCTTTTTGCTTCGCTTTCCAAYTYATGAAAAGTGATGTTACGTTATTTTGCATTTTAGGTGACSATATATCCACTTATATAAACATTAAAATATTTTTTAAGTTTTTTTTTATTATGTATGACACGAGACTTCAAGTAATTGCGTTATTTCATCAAAATTAATTGCACTTATTTAATATAATTATAACAAGAACAGAAAAGTAAGACACTAAATTCGTGTCTAAGTGAAATTTTTATACATTTTCAACTAGCAAATATCAAACTCTGGGGAATTCTTCGGGTGTCAGCAAAACTTTTTATTAAACAAGTAAGGAAGCATTAAGTTTGGGTGTAACAGAACATTTTATACACTAACAGATTGAACAATATACTCATATAACCGGAAGTTCAAGATTATACATATTATGTACATGGAAGGTTGAGGAAATATTGACCCGCTTTTACTCATTTTTGTCGCAAGGTCATGCTGTCAAAACTTCACTGTTTGACCGATATATTCATTAAAAAAGCAGGCAAATGTATCTGAGTTCACATAGGCTTACATGATGTTGCTTTAGCAAGAGCTGGTGTGTTTCGATGGCACCAGGCCTTTTTGGAGGCCCGGGAAGTGGCCGCTAATGAAGACAGTGCTGGGAGACCTGCAACTTCGACAAACACCGACAATGTGTCTCGTGTACGCAAAATTTTGAATTCAAACCGTCGACTAAGTATATGTTTAACTGCCCAGATGTCAAATTTATCAAACTCTGTAGTTTACGGCATACTGACGGACCACTAACGACCAGAAATTACGGCGAGTGGAAGTGTACCAAGAAAGTTTGAACATTTGACATCTCAATGCTTCCGCAGCCGCTCTACAGCCCAGATATGAACAACGGTTTGCATGAACGTCCGTGAAACAATGTTTTCCGACTACCAGGATGTCATGAAACGTATTATTACTGGCGTTGAGTCTTGGATCTAAGATTAAGGCCCGGAAGCAGACGGTATATCGACCGAAATCGTTGCAAATTTGAATTGAATCAGAAAAAATCCCGTCAAAGCAGTTCAAAAGTTAAGGTTATGTTGACAGTTTTCTTCAATTACCGAGTTTTGGGGYACTACGAATACCTTTCGATCAGCCAAACTGTCAATAAGGAATATTATTTGAGTGCACCGTTTTCGCGAAGCTATTCGTAAAAATAACTTTAGCACTATTTCAAGGAACTAACAACTATTTCAAGGATTGGAAAAAATGTTGGTCCACGAGAGACTACTTTGGGGGGATAACATATATACATATATATGGAAGCATAAATTAGAATTTTTAAAATTATGAACAAAGTCTTAATATTTTTTGCGTATAGTAGTATATGCTTATAGGCTGACAATCTCGGTGCCAAAACAGCTTCATGGGACGTTTYAGAAYGRGGTCTCCAAAACTGAGAGACTARTTCACGTATAGGCACTCAGATGTAYAGAGCTCGACACTCAACTCGTCAACTTCTTAATAAAGTCTCCAGCGTTTTTCCGTCTACTATACTAGTCAGAGTATAATCATAAATAGATATAAGATGTAAATGGATATAAGACATTACATATTTTTATTAAGCTTTCATGAATATTTCTATTGCTGACAGCTTAATTGATTTTTTGCATGAAACCAAAAATTATTTTGTTAATATAACTTATTTCGAAAAAGAACAGAGAAAACCAAGCAATAGTTATGTTCGTGCGCAGGCGAAAAATAAATAATACAGCTTTGTTTTGAGTTGATGATTCGGAGCAGTGCTTGGAGATATTCAAACGTAATAAGTTCGAGTTTTTGTGCTGATATGTGAGAATGGATGAAGCTTCGAAACGTTATTGGAATGTTTGAAAGATGAAATTGCCGAAAAACGGCCCTATCTGAAGAAGAAGAAAATGCAGTTTCACCAAGCCAATGCACCAGCTCACAAGTCAGTGAAAACTATAGCAAAAATCCATGATTTGAACTTCGATTTGCCTCTACATCCATCGTATTCTCCAGATCTGTCCTCGAGCCACTATTTCCTGTTCTCAGATCTCAAAAAAATGCTCGCTGGATAGAAATTTTTGTCAAATGTAGAGCTGATCGCCGAAACTGAGATCTATTTTGAAGCAAAGAGGAAATCGTACTACAAAAATGKTATCGAAAAGTTGGAATGTCGCTATAATCTCTATGTCACTCTTAAAGGAAACCATTTTGATTTTAACGAATTTGGACCAAAAACAGTTGTTGTTATTATAGCGACAGAATTATGCCGAGTTGKCATTGTTCTCTTACAGAAAAAATTTCATATCTTAGAAAGTTACTTAGATTTCYCGAGATATTTGATAAAATCGGAACACGACCTCAATTTCTTCTATTTTATATTTTCTCAYAGTAGAAACGTAAACTTTGAAATTTGCCAAACTTTAGAGAGCAGCGAATCCAACAAAAAACTGGTATAAATTGGTTGCTGGTATTAATAATTATACATATATAGTACTGCAAGGCATTTAGTGGTGTTTCGATATATAATTTTAAAGTGCATATAATTTATGTTTTGTTGTTATTTATTAAATATATTTATTATTTACCAGCGAAATAATTCACGCTTTCGGTAGCGCCGATGCAAATATAGATACATGGCAAACAAAGTGTACCAGCTTTGCATACAAATGCTTGAGCGATAAACTAGCGCTTTCTGACAGGTGTGTTGACAAAAATGTCAATAAATAAAAATAATTAATAAAATCTGACTTCGTGCTAAGTCTTTATACATTTCTTACCATATGTATGTAAATGTTGTGATTTTTTTTTTTTTCAATAGTGATACCTACTAAATTATGTGGAATTTTTAAATAGTGTGCAACAAATGTTGGACCTTGAGACGAAAAGCGTAAAGATAGCCAGGCAGCGCGAGTACTTGGTAAACACTGGACAACTACAAATACAGATTTAAGAAGACTTCAAGGCACTAATTGCCGATACATGACTTCACTTCTGACATCACAATGGAACTGCCATCAACTGTTTATGTGTGAGAAATTTTTTCACAACAATTCACAGCTGAGAAGGTTTCGTTTGCACACTATTTTTTAAAAAGTCCCTCCCAGCAGATTGTTTTTTTTTTTTTTAAATTATTAAGAAACTGCATAAAATATGGTTTATCCTCTCAAATACCCAAACAAATTGAACTAATAAAAATTGATCATTTACTTTCATACTTCATATGACGTCATAATAGCTTGAGCTCTCAATGGWCATGTCTTTCCCATTTCTATTACAATTCCTGAAATATATATTCAATATAAAATCATCAAATATRCAATACAGAAATTCTAACGACCAATAAACATGGAGTTCACCAGCTAAGTTTGGTGCATAATAAATTTTTACGCGGCTATAGAAACCAAAAACGGATGAACTACGCTTAAAAAACCCATTGAAACACGATTACTTATTTCTCGAAAACCATACGCCAATTATGAAGAAGTGATTGTATACACATGCAATGTTTTTTATCGTTTATCACTATTCCTACCGCATCAATATTTATGCAAATCAAGAACGATATGCAAACCATATGCAGATGTTTGCGAATTTAACAAACATTTTTTTTTTTTAATTAATACGCAAATATAAAAAGAAAAATAAACTACGAGACTCCGAAAGTATTTAATAACACGACTAGTTTTCTAAACTGCTTTGGTCATACCAAAGTTACTTAAAATATCACTGGCTGGAACTGAAATGAAGATAAAATAGTAAAACTGTCTTCATAACTGTAAAGTTCTTAATTTAGTCGTTAAAATCGATGTCGTCCCCTTCAAAGTAATCCCCTTTGACCCCAATAAACTTGTGCCAACGTCTTTTCCAAACCTCAAAATGGTTTTTAAAGTACATTTCTGGAATAGCCTTCAAAGCGCGTGACGATTCACGTTTAATATCCTCAATTGACTCAAAACGATTTCTCTGGAGCGCTCATTTGATTTTGCTGAATAATCAGAAGTCACTTGGAGCTCA